GTGCAACCTGGCCAGCCCTGGCTGTGCTCCCCCTCTCAGCTGCACCTGAGGCGAGTGCCTCACTCGCCCCATGGTAGCTACAGCCCTGTATTTCAAGGTGTATTTAGCTGTTTAATGGAACCCATCTTTAAATGTAAGCTCTGCAGGACATTGCAGCACTTACCATATGTAGCTATATTTTATATTACAGCCATGGGACCATGCGCTACAATACTTTTTGTGTTTTCTTTTTAGGGGCCTTCATTTTTTTAATGCTTTTTTCCCCCCTAGTGTGACTTTTAGATCCGAAGTTCTAAGCTAGAGGCTGGAAATCTGCTGACACATTTATATTTTCCTGTAACTGCCTTGCCCACAATTACTCACAGATGTAACAGCTGGATTTCTCATGTGTTTTTTTTACTCAACTATCACTGAAAGGAACCAGCAGAAGGTTATTTTTTTTATATTCTGCGTGAATTTCTCATACAGGATTTCCAAGTTTCATTGTTTTCTTACAGGGAAGACTTTCCAAGGACTTGGAAGCAAAGCAAAAGGGGGAAGCACAGACTATAGAGAAGAGCTTGGAGCAGCCTTTGCTTCATACACACACACACACACACACACAAACACACACTGCCCAAAAATATTCCTCCCTTGTGGTAAAGTGGGATTTCCTCTAGCTTTTGTTTATTTACAGAGGAATGAAGAAGAGAAATCTTGCATCTTAGCATCCCTGTAGATGTGCAATATACTTAGCCAGTATCGCACTGAGGATGGAAGGCTCACTACGGCAGTTCTGAGGATGACTGCAGTGTAACCCAACATTCTGAACCAATTACGTGAACAGGGTGTGCGATCCGTGGGGAAGATCTGTACACTGTGTTGTCATGGTAGCAAGGAAGCAGAATTTTCTTTTTTAGTAGCATGTGACTGCAGATTAAAATAGGAAAAAAATAAATCAATTATAAGGATAAAATTCAAAATATTAACAACTACTTACAAAGCCATCCACAACTCTGCTATACAGCATCTCCAACCTAGTCTCAAAGTATCACCCTAACCATCCCGTTCATTTGTCCCAAGACCTCCTGCTCTATAGCTCCCTCATCAACTCCTACCATTCTCGCCTCCTGCACTTCTCTAGAGTCTCCCCATCCTCTGGAACTCCCTACCCAAACCTGTCCGTCGATCTCCTACTCTGTCTGCCTTTAGGCGATCCCTAAAGACTCATCTCTTCAGGGAAGCCTATCCCGACTCAACCTAGCCACTGAACTATCACTTTTTTAAACAATTCATCCCCACACAGCAACCACCTCTTTTATCACTTGCCACTCCCTTTTAGATTGTAAGCTCTCAGGGCCCTCCTAATCTTCCATTGATTTGTATTGTAAAGTGCTGTGCAAACTGTTGGCGCTATATAAATCCTGTATAATAATATAAACACAGAGTCATATAAAAAGGAGGAAGTACACCCCATATCATTTGACTTATTCAACATATTTGAACAGGCAAATATTCAATCTTTATTCAATCAATGCCTACAAATAATGGTGATACACTAGAACAAATAAAATGACATGGTGCATTCATTCTCACAACCTTCCTTTTTTTACAGAACTGCATATTAATAGCATTATATTTCAAAATGGATTTTGTTCTCTAGGAATCATTTATCTATATCAGTTTTTTTTTCAGTAAAAGTTGAGTTTTCCTTTTACATTAAAAATTTTGAAAATCCATTGCCGAATGAAATATGTGCTGCAGCTCCTTAACCCCATATATTCTTACAGAAGGGTGGAGCACCAATTGGCCCTTTGCCACTAATGGTAATAGAAAACACGTGTAGGGTTAGAACCGTCCAGCCCTTTTTTCCCCATATGTGTGCCTGCTAATTGTGAACTCGCATTTCACTTTCATGCAAAAAAACAGTTTTTCTTCTCCAAGTACATAATATGGAGCTTATAGAGACCCTGTCCCTAAAAATTGCAGTCAAAGAAAGGGAAAATTCAAGAATTGAAATGCTTACTTTCAGCATGTTTCCTTTTCACAAACATTCTTTTATTTGCAAATTGCCTCTAAACTTGCTATAAATTTGACTTTCTCAGGAAGAGTAAATTTCCTAGCACAGCCCCCTCTCTCCAGCCATGTCATAGGCCTCTCCTCTCCTGGGATTGTCTAATTACTGTGTGTTTTGGCCAAGCTCCTCCACCCATCCCTCAGCTGCCTACATATAACCTTGTAGAGGAGCAAAGGGTTAATACTATAGTGCAGGGGTGGGCAAACTCGGGCCCTACTCTGACAGCCACAGGCATGACTTACAGAGGCAGATGCATGATGGTATATGTACTTTCACCACAGCTGGAGGACTGGAGTTTGCCCACCCCTGCTATACAGTGTCACCAAGAACGTCTGACTGTCAGAAGTACTCGTTAATGCACATAGAGATTATACCACTTGCTAGAGTCTAGACAATCTTTGTGTGATAAGACCAATCTTCATTTCACTGAGAAATAGTAGAGAGGGGGGCGTGGCCAGCAGCCGAATGTGAGCAGACGTCTGTAGGGGAGCTCTCCCGCACTTTATCCTGAACGATACCCGTCGGGCTTTCCGGTACCCGTCTATCCTGCACTAGCCGATTGCCTAGGTCTCGCTGACGCCTGCACTCCGTTTTTGGGCTTCCTGCAGCCACATTGAGACCGGGAGATGTCCAAGAAGAAGGACGGTAAGGGCCTCCCTCCCGCGATCCAAGATGGCGGCGGCACACAGCACACGCTCCCCACCCCTAGCAAGCAGACAGGGGACAGAGGCAGGGATACAGCGGCGCGACTGGAGCGCTTCGCCCGCCATCCTGACACCCCTGCTAAGGGGCAGAGGCTCTCCTATTCTGCAGATCGGGCCACCCGCAGGGAGCTACTGCCAGATCGGCTGCAATCCTCAGCCTCTGATTCAGATGGGCCGGACGCCATCTTGGGCTAAAAAAAAAAAAAAAAAAGAAATAGTAGAGAGAACAAGGCAAGAATAGACATTTGTAAGGATCTGAATGTCCAACTGCTTTGGTTTGCTTGAGATGCAAGAAGGAAAAGAGGAAGTGCTTCCTATATGGACCATTTAAAATGCTTAGTATGTTCTAAAGATAGAGCCTGTGTTACTGTCTGTTTCACCTCTAGTTCAACCTTTGTTAGTTTTCAGAAATAGTTTCCTCCTGTAAGTTCTTGCAAAATGTAATCTTGTTCCTGTAAGTTAAAGCTGAACTCCAGGAAAAGCAAATCATTTATAAATACAAGAGGCGTGTATGTTCTTACTTAGATCCTGGTGTAATTTGTGTATTTTTTCTAGATCTGTGCAGTAATCCAGTTTGAAATATCCTTCCTGTAATAAAGACCACTCACTGCTGCTCTCTCTCCTTGCACAGGGTAGCTGGTCTTGTATCTGCCCCCTCCGGTAGTTTTCTGCAGCCAGCTTGTAGTAGGTGGAGCTGCTGGGTCCCTCCCACAGCTCTGCTCTCTGTACAGGCATTGTGCAGCATAGTGATAATGTCACTTCTACTTTTATCATTTAATATCTGGGTTGGTAAAGACATTTAATGCTCAGAAAGTGGATTTACACCGATTAGTCATAACATTATGACCACAAACCCTTTTACTGACTAAACAGCCCTTACCCATCAAGGCATGAACTCTGCTAAACCTCTGAAGCCCTCAATAGCAGATCCTTTTAAGTGCTGTAAGTTGTGGGGTGGGGACTCTATCGATAGGACTTGTTTTTCCAGTACATACCACAGATGCTCGATTGGATTGAGATCTGGAGAATTTGGAGACCAAGTCATCCCTTTGAACTCGATGTGTTCCTCAAACCATTCTTGAACCATTTTTTCAGTGTGGCAGGGCGCATTATCCTGCTAAAAGAGGCCACTGCCATCAGGAATTACCACTTTCCATTAAGGGGTGTACTTGGTCAGCAACAATGTTTAGGTTGGTTGTACAGCAGAACATTGCCCAAAGCATCACGCTGCCTCCACTGGCTTGCCTACCTCAAAGTGGTCATAATGGTATGGCTGATCAATGTATATCATTTGTTGCAGATGAGGAATATTTTAAAATGAAGATTTTTGTGGCTGGAGTTTAGATTTTAAAAAATAAAATTAAAAAAAATCATACAGGCATTGACATTTAATAGGCGTGCACTTAACTAAACTGGGATTTGTTTTCTCGGGGGGTTTGGACTTTAGTTTATGATTTTTTAAAATCAATGACACAATTTTAGGATTATTTCATAAGCCACAGTTTATTACAGTTTGATGGGTGTTACATATGCCACTGTAGTGTTGCATTTTATTTTTCCTTTTTTTATGCTTAAAGTATTTTTGTAAGGCACTGAGTTTAATAATTCATATCTGAAAAAAACGTGATAGCTGTTGCAGTGGGTGAGCAGGTGTTGAAAACTCCCCATCGTTGGATATAGCAATTATTTGGAAGGATAAAAATAAAATATAATCAACACATTTTAGAGATTGCCCCCCACCTTCAGGGCTTGTTTTCTTAATTTCCTGCCCCCTTGTAAATATATACAGTGTGTATGTGTATATATATTTAATACCAGTTTTATTTGGTTAGGTATGTTCAATTGAACAGATTTAGTGGCATATTTTTAATGTGGTGGATTATTCATTGATCTTAAGTTGTCGTTCATCCATTGGAACATTTTCCTCCGCATTTAAAAAAAAACAAACACTAGCTGTCTATATTTGCACCAAATCCCAGCTTATTACTACTGAAGAGTGACATATGGCTTGTGGCCTTTTGGGTTAGGAAGCAGGAAGGTCCCTCCACTGTAGTCTCTAAGAAGGCAATGTGTGATATTTTGGTTTTGAATGCTATATGCATTTAATAAAGAAGAAAAAATTTTTTATATTAGCAATATAGATAAATGAACTGAGTGTAAGCTTTTGTTTTTCTGCTTTGCATTCCCAGACCTTGATTTGTGGCTAGTTTCTAACAGTATTCATTGTTTGCCCTCTACAGGAAAAAGAGAAGAAATACATGCTGCCCCTGGATAACCTAAAACTAAGAGATATTGAAAAAGGATTTATGTCCAGCAAATTCATTTTTGCCCTGTTCAATACTGAGCAAAGGTGAGTATATTCTTTGTCTAGATGCAGTGCATTATGGTAACACTATATTAGCAGGTATTCCCACAAGGTAAGAGCATCAGCTTGTAGCAAACAGCATAACCTTATCTTATATCTTTAGCAGTCAGGTACGCCACCCAGCACCCCTACTAGATGCACATGCTTTGCCCCCATCCCACCATGTAGTGCCCAGGGGCTTAAGTAACCCATCACTAGACGTGAACATTCCCACACAGAGCAATGGGGATAGTGTTATCGGAAATTCAAATATTGACTTTGTGAAAGGCTCTGTTTGCATAGCCATTTTAGACAAGGGAAACGTCTCATAACAGGGAGGAATAATAGTGATCAGTATTTCTCTGACCTGTCTGGCCAAGCTTAATAGTTGTACAAGCAGATGCTGAGGTCCAAACATTGTTTGAACCTGATTGCTATCCCCCTGGATATAAGCCTGCGTTGGTGGGGTTTCCACTTTCTGCTTCTATACCCATACAGGAAAACCAAAATCTCTCTATTACCCATCCTTCAGTATTAACATAAATGCCACCCAAGTGTTCTTGTTTATACCTGCAGCTGGCTTGAGAGACATCTCCAAATGGTTGGATTGTGCCTGCACATGTCTTTTAATACCTATGGCCAGCTTCAGTGTTTGTGTTGCCTCTTTGGAGACATTCAGATTATTTGTTTCACTTGAAAAGGGACACTCTGTCTACATTTAGGGGTAAATACACTGAGTGGCCAGATTATTATGACCACCCCATCAGTACTTCGTTGGGCCGCCTCGTGACTCCACGAGATGTTGAAAGGTGATGCGAGGAATCTGACACTGCACTGTTGCCCTTCTGTTGTCTTGTACCAGTCTTGCCACTCTGTTCTGCCCTAACATTTACTAGTCGCTGACGGCCACAATTCGCACATTCAGACCCAGATTTTCGGCTGACAGTCCAGTCTTTAAACACTTTAACAACAGCTGCTCTTGAACATTTAACGAATTCTGCTGTTTTGCTGTGTGTGTTTTTTTTTTACCTACATGTGGTGAGGGGCCTTAGGATTCGTATGTTTTAGAGAAAACAAACTTTGTCGTTTTTTAACATCTAGATAGGTTCTAGTCTGGATCCTGGAGTCCTGAGGCTTTGTAGAGGTTTGGGTGGGATGAATCCTCCATTCCTAAGACCACATTTCCTCTCACTTCCTGTTGTGTTTCCAGGAAAGGAAGGCAAAGCAAATCTCCCCAAAATATAAATTGACAGAGGTTCTGTTCTGTTTTCAGGAATGTTTACAAGGATTACCGTCAGCTGGAGCTGGCCTGCGATACTCAGGAAGAAGTGGACAGTTGGAAGGCTTCTTTCTTACGTGCTGGTGTCTATCCAGAGAGAGCTGGGGTATGTACCAATACTGAATAATCAGGCCACCTGGTTGGTAACATCTTTTCTTTAATGTGGAGGTCCTAAGGATTTTAAAGTGACCCTGTTGCTATACAAAACATACTCCATAAATACCTTTCCTGTCCCACTGAAATCCACTCCAATGCAGTGAATTTGTCCCTCTAGGTCTGCTGGGAAACTGATACTTGCAGGGGTGTCAGTCTCCTGGGTCCTCCACAGCACTTAGTGATTCCTCCTTCCTCCCTTATACAGTAATAGCATGGAGGTCAGCAGGAACAACCACTGAGAGCTGCAGGGGGCCCAGTAGATTGTCTTTACCAGAAGTATCAGTTTTCTGGTAGTGATAATCTCCTGCTTCCCCCGCAGCTCTCAGTGGTTGTTTCACAGCATAGGAGTGAAGTTCAGAAGCACAGGCAGCAGGAAAGCTAAGTATTTATTGTCACAGGGAGAGATTTGCAGGGAATGTTTTGTATGGCGACAGGGTTGCTTTAAGGGTGACAGGGCTAGATTTACATCACTGAAGCCTGTATACACACAGTTTTTGGCACTAATAACATCCCTTTTACAAAGAACATATTCTTAATTTACTGGACCTAACCTGAATTAAAATAGTGACAGCGTGTGCCTTCACCTCTTCTGCCAATAGGCAGAGGCCTACTGTGTTTAGTGGTAAATCCGGCCCTGTGACTGGAATGATAGCATTGATTGTTATCAGACAATCCATAAAGACAGACCACAATATATATTATTTGTCTATGTCCCGGAATGGTTTGTTACTGGGACTGGCCCATTGTGTTACTAGTCATCTGTTCATGCTATTATGCATCTGCCTCAACACTTGCTGCTCATTTGATGACCCCTTTGAGTTATAAAGAACTATATTCCTAGGAGACATCTATATAGCAATGATCGATGTCTTTTGGTAATAAATCAAAACTCACAAAATTATTTATATACTGACCCCCAAAATATGTATAATTTTTACAATTGGAAAATCATTTTCAGTTTACTAAAAATGTTACTGCAAGCGTTATTCTATGTTATACTATTGACTTTTGTTCTATTTTGGTGGGACTGCCAACTAACAAAACAACAATTGCGCTGGTTTGTGCTCATTAATTTACCAAATGCTTCTAAATGGCGATAACTATGAGGTTATGTGAGGTCTCTATTGACAGCAGACCAAGGAGCCATTCGAGGTGGAGATAATGTAACATCTAAGTACCAATTAATGAGAAGTAAAAAAAAAAATAACCTTTAGCGCCCACAATTTAGTTCCGACCTTATTTTCCTGAAAAATAAGGTTGGAACTAACCTTATAAAATAAGTTAAATTTTCTGGAAGAAAATGTAACTTAAAAGTGACCCAAACAGAACAAGATCAGCACTACCCTGCTGTTAAACAGATCAAATGGAGACAGCTGAAATTTCCCTCTATGCAGCACACAATTAATGAGAAGTAAATAAAAAAAATAACCTCTACCGCCACAAATTTTGTTCCGATCTTATTTTCCTCTGAAAGAAAATGTAAACTTAAAAGTTACCCTAACAGAACAAGATCAGCACTACCCTGCTGTTAAACAGGTCAAATGCAGACAGCTGAAACTTCCCTCTATGCAGCACACATTGTTGCTTCATAGCAAAGTAAATTACAAGTACATATTTTTTTTAAATACAATGTGTGCCCAAAGGTCTGTGGACACATAAGCAGCTACTATGTGGCCAAAAGTATGTGGATACCCCTCCAAATTATTTCGTTCAGGTATCTCCAGTAAAGGGTATAGTTAATGCTACAGCATAGAAAGACATTTTAGGCAACTGTACTTTTCCAACACTTTTTTGGGGGAAGGCCCTTTTCTTTTCCAACATGACTGCACCCCTTTGTACAAAGCCAGCTCCATAAAGACATGGTTTGATGGATTTGGTTTGGAGGAACTAGAGTGGCCTGCAAATAACCCTGACCTCAACCCTAATGAACACCTTTGGGATGGATTGAAATGCATATTCTCTCGTTCAACATCAGTTTCTGACCCCAAAAATCCTCTTTTTGCTGAATGAGCACAAATTCCCACATACCCACTCCAAACTTTTGTGGAAAGAGCTTAGAGACGAGTGGAGGTGTGATGTAGGTGTGATGATCAGGTGTCCACAAACTTTTAGCCACATAGTGTATATATGTGCATAAAAGTGAAGGCTGTTATAGCTGCAGAGTTGCTGGGGGTAACCAACTCTATATTGTCCATGGCAACAAGCTCATGTAAGTTTATGGCCTGGTGTCCACAAACGTTTGGCCATATATGTGTATGGGGATATTAAAGGTTAAAGGAAAAAAAACAGACCATATCTCTTTAAATGTAATCCTCAAGCTTTCCTTAGTCTTTGTGCCATGATAAATTAAGGCATTAATTAATTTGGCGTGGAACTATATGATAAATGCTGGTCATGATTCCTAATGAGATGGTGACTGCTTTTGCTTCCAGAATGCCATATCATAGTTCCCTCCCCTAAGATGCCATTTTGTGGTGGCTTAAGATTTTAAGCCATTGGCCATACCTCACCAGACTCCACACCGTGCTCATTTCCTGTATCATCATTTTAGAAAAACAAGGGTCAGGGATTCCTCCTTATCCACTAATTTTGGTGTTTTTCTATTTTGTCCCCTTTTGTGTGTTTTATTTTATTCTGTTGTGGCTCAATCTGGCCTCAAAGGACCTGGATAAAGTAAGTGGTGCGGTCAGCTCCAAGGGAGTCCTAATGCTCCTTCCTGCTTCTTTAACAACCTCACTTTCCTTTCTTCTTCTCCCATGAGTGGTCCTGGCGGGATGTTTCCAAGGGGGGCTACTGTCTTCCCTCATCATTTTTTTTTTATATCCTCAGTTTCGTCTGTCTCCGAGACTGGTCAGAACATTTAATTTGGGGTCTCTCCCCCTTTTCTCTCCTGGTTCTGACTTTCTCCCGAACTCTCTCCATAACATTCTTTTTATTTTGCATGCCTGACATAAAATATTGAAGTGAAACAGCGCAGTTGGACCTGGGGAATCCCTATTTCCCCATTGTCCTCCTCTGCACTCATATTTCCCTCTTTATAGTCTTAAAGGGAACCGTTCCCTAGACTATGAACATTAAAGTATTCACATATTCTTAGCAATCAGTAAAAGATCTTTAACACAAGCACTCACTGACTTCTGTAGCTGTATGCCTGTGGATTAATTCATCCTCAGATTCACAAGAAAGACTCTATACATTGCAGCTCCTCTCCCCTTGCTTCTTTTGCCAGCCTTCTATTGTAAACAAACCACAAGTGCTGTAAACTGTTCTATGATGTGATTGAGGATGAATTAAAACTCATTCACACCACCTGCACTGGGCTGCAACACAAGGACAAGGCAAACAGCTTTGTATTCACTGGTGCCAGTTCACACCAATGCCCTGCAATGCATTGGCATGCAGTGGGAAAAAAATGGGACTTGTTACCAGTGGTAGACCTAAGGATCAAAGGGCCCTGGTGCAAGATTTTTTTTTCGGGCCCCCCCCCCGGCTCTTACAATGCCCATAGTGGCCAACTGACTACCTGAAAGCCCTCACTGGCCACCAAAAAGCCAGCACTGGCCACCTGAGAGCAGAAAAACAAGCTCAGGACTCCCACTGACACTGATTCTGTTGACTTGTATAATAATCTCATTATATATTACAGTGTAATAATAAAAGAATTAAAGTGCACAATAAATGCGCTTGAAACATCCCCAAACCATCTCTCCCCTCCCACCCCACCCCCCGCCCTCTCGCTTCGTGGAAAACATTTTTCAGCTAAACCGATCCTGATTCCAAAAAGGTTGTGGACCACTGCTATAGAGGGCTACAACTCCCAGCAGTACTTTATACGGCAATGGAGAATGGCTTTGGCTATAGAGGACTGCAACTCCCATCAATATTTTATACAGCATTTGCAATTCTGCATTGCAAAGTTCTGCTGGATGTTGTAGTCCTCTATTGCCGTTACCATTCTGCATTTCTGTATAAAGTATTGCTGGGAGTTGTAGTCCTCTATAGCTGATGCCATTCTGCACTGCTGCAATGCAGAATGGCAACAGCTATAGAGGACTACAACTTCCAGCAATACTTTATACATAAATGCAGAACAATTCCATCAGTTACAGAGGGTTAAAAACAATGTGACTTAAGGCACATACCTCTTTTGTCCTCGCGGTGCAAACACATGCAGCAGGGAGAGGTGGTGGGCTCTGAAATCCAGTGTCTGCTGCTCGTTCCTCTTGGCCGAGGCCCCAGAGTGTCCCTGCAGGCTGATGTGATTTCTTCTAACTGCAGGCAACTAGTCTAGATTCTGTCTGCTCCAGTTTTGATAAAGTCCCCCTTTAAATATCTCTTTCTGACTTTACTTCTGCTGTAAAGCTTTTTTGTTTGTTTAGAAAATGTAAATACTTTAATGCCCATTTAACTAAACATACAAGTATCGGGGAAAGCGATTTTTGTTCAATGTGTTAAGCTGGCTGTATATAGTAAGATTTTGATGGCTCCATTCAAACTGTTTTACCAACCACCATTCATTACCATTACCCTTGGATTCAGTTAAAGAGGTTGCAAGTCCGACCAAAACTTTTTATTTTTATTTTGGATGGAGTGGGAAAGAGTTGGACCACTGTCATCAGGGCAGGAAGTAAAGGGATATCTCCCCAACAGGGACACAGCAGTTGTATATTGGCAAGGATTCCAGAGCTTCCCATCTTTATCCAAACAGACTAAAAAAAAAAGATTTTGACTGAAATTCCACTTAAAATTTTCATACAAAATCTTACTTTGTACAGGCTGATGAAACTCGAAGGATTCTGAAGTGTCCTAAACTCCTGAGACGTTAAAAGATAATGACCAGCCCTGTGGTAGTAAACAGTGTGGAAGATTCCTTCTTGCCCACTGGTTCCCTGGCTGTTTTAGTTCAGTGTCAGTAACAGACTATGACATGGACGCCGTCACGAAGGGCTCTGCTGACCTGCCTCTTGAACTTTGTTTATCTTCCTTTGTTCCTCTTTGCTTTGCAGGCTAGTGAGTCTGATGAGAATGGATCCGACAGCTTTATGCATTCAATGGACCCTCAGTTGGAAAGGCAGGTGGAGACTATCCGTAATCTTGTGGATTCCTACATGGCTATAGTCAACAAGACCATCCGGGACCTGATGCCTAAAACCATAATGCATCTCATGATCAACAATGTAAGTTTTTATATGGTGTCTTTGGGGTCTTCTTAATAATTAATGACCTTTAATGTATGTACAGATAAGTGGGTGAGATACTGTATGTGGTAAAAAAGACTCAGTTCACAGGACAGTATTTGCTGTGATTTTGTCTATAGTCAAGATGCAAAGTCTGGAGGTATGATCCGCATCTGTTAGTGTTTCTGGCAATTGCATACCCGCTGGTAAAGTTCCTGTAAGATATAGATATTTTTCCAGGTGTCCAATCATTTTAATGGTGGAGAAAAAATAAAAAATCATATTCTGTTCATCTTTGCAATACATACACATTTCCCTTTGTTTTGTCTCTTAACCACTTGAAGACCAGAGTGTTAAATCCCCTTCCTGGCCAGGCCATTTTTCAGTATTCAGCGCTGCGTTACTTTGACTATTTAGTCATGCAACGCTGTACTGAAATGAATTTTATACCATTTTTTGGGGACACATAGAGCTTTCTTTTGGTGGTATTTTGGCGGTTTTTACTAAATTAAGGAAACATTTTTTTTTTAAAAACTGTTTCCCCTATATTAATTTATGAAACAATTTATTATTATCCAATTTAATGCAAAATATAAAAGACGGGGTCACATCGAGTAAATATCTAGAAACACGATGTCTTGCTGCACTCCTTACCAAAACAACCCCAACTGGGTGGGTGCTTGTAGTGACCACGGTAGGCACCGTGTAAATCACGGCTCAGAATGACTCATCAGGCTCAGAATGACATTCTGAGCCTGATGAAGGGGACCCCCCTGCGGCCCCGAAAGCGCTTGTATTGGATGGCAATGTGCCATTAAAATGGATCATTGATTTACAAAACCGGTGTGCTGGTGAGATTATTCCTTTTTTTTTTTTTTACATCGAGTAAATAGACACCAAACATGTCAAGCCTTAAAATTGCGCGAGCCCGCGAAACCGCCAAAAACTACAATACCCAAAATTGGCCATAGACAATGTTTTAAAAGCTTTTACCGCTCATCAGTTTAGTGTTATCAGTGATTAATGGTCCTAAAATTATTGGTCACACTCCGACATGCGCGGTGATACGTAACATGTGCAGCACAATTTTTGTTTTTGAGCGTCGGCACACCCAGCGCGTATTAAGTTTACAGGGGGGACTTAGCATTTTTTGATTTTTTTTAAACATTTGTTTTACTTGGGGATCCCCAGAGAAGCTTATGAAGCAGAGATCTGCTTCACCAGCTTCTTCTCTGGCTATAGCAGCCAAAGAAATGACAGCTGAATGTGGAAGTGATATAATACACACCACTTCCGCATTCAGAGATCGGAGAGAAGATCAACAAAGAGGACAATGCTGATCTCCCTCTCAACTTCCAGCTGCCAAGCTTGTCCCAAGCCCGCAGAGGGGACAGCAGAGCCCAGGATGAAAGGTAACGGCAGTGTAGGGGAGAGGCGCCGAGGGGGGGCGCACACTGCAGGGCAGCACATTCACGCGATCAGATGGCTATAGAGCCGCCGGCTGTGTACACCTATCAGTGTAATGTACTTGTGCGAGCAGAAAAATTTAAATTTACAGCTTGCTGTCCATCCGTTTATTTACAATGTCATGGACGGCAAGTAGTTAAGAAATGTTACAACTACAGAAAAATACTGCTGTAAAATTGCTGTAGTGGGCTGGCAACACCATCTCTGCTCTTCTGAAATCTCAAGCAGTGTTGCTAGCTTTGTGTGAGTTTTCTTCTTCTGGCCTTCAAAACACCTCCACCTCTCCTCATTTCTATAATATAAAGGTCAATGTTCTGTAGTCCAGAAGGAAGAACTCAGGAAGGATTGACAACACTGCTTAGTATTTAAGTGTGACAGAGTTGTCAGCTCACTACAGAAAATTAGAAGTTCACTGGATTTCTCACAGATCGACAGATATATTTCTGTACTTAAAGGGTTATTAAACCCTCAGTTTTTTGGCATAAATCTACTGCTAGCAAGCAGTAGATATATGCAAAACCTTTTTTTAAAAAGCAAAAAAACGCTTTAAAAGAGGTTAAAACTTACCTGTGTCCCTGTTCCAGACTGTGCCCATATCTCCACCCAGGCCTTTTTTTTCCTCGGTCAACGCACCTTCTTATGGAATGATGGATCACCACGAATAGGGTTCTCGACCTTGACCCGCTCAAAATCCCATGGAGGCATAGGGCTCCCCCATGTGCACAACTATTATAAAGCTTGCCATTTAACCCGCATCATAGACTGGGCGCCACGGGGGCATACAAAGACTGGGTCCAGATAGAACAGCTTCAAGTAGGATTCCCAATTGGCTCCTGGCCCTGGATCCAAAGATCCCTACTCCCTCCCCAAGTGCTCTCCCACCCTATGGTAGGTACTTCACTGCACCTCTTCGATGAGATATGCAGAAGCACGGACTTCTCATCCACACTCAGTCCCATCACCCCGGTTTGCATGAACCCGGCCTTTCCTCCGGGTCTCCACTCCTCATTTCTACGCTGCTGGTCATCCAAAGAGGTCCCACGGGCGCAAACGTTCTTTGATGCCCAAGGGAGATTCAGATCCTTGACTGACCTCAACTCAGAGACCCAAGATGGGCCGTTACCATTGTGGCAATACATGCAAATTCGCCACTTTCTCAATTCACAACAAACTAGACACAACTACACACGGCCCCTTACTCAATTCGAAAATCTCTGTAGGATCTCGCATACAGTCTCAGAAACTTACTCCTAAGTATCGGAGACCTCTTCTCTTCCAACTCTTCCTTCCATGAAGGCTTGGGAAAAGGACTTATCCATCACCTTTACTCCCGGTAATGGGAAAGAATGGATGATCTTTTGCTAAAGAGCTCATTGAATGTGCAAGTTCAGGAAACCAACTACAAAATATGCTCCAGGTGGTACAAAACTCCTGAGATCCTTCATCGCATCTTCCCTGATACGCCCAACACATTTTGGCGTTGCTCCCAAGACGTGGGTACGCTTCTTCACATTTGGTGGACTTGCCCACTCATAGCCAAGTTTTGGACCAAAGTACATTCTCTCATTAAAGTCATAACTGGTTTGTCAATGGAATTCTCTGCAGCCTCCTTCCTACTGTGCCACTTCGACGAATCACAACACATCTCCAAAAAATCCCTGGTCTTACACCTACTAAACGCAGCTAAAACAGTTATTCCCAGACACTGGAAGGCGACCTGCCCGCCTCCAATAAGGGAATGGCTGTCTCGAATAGACACAGTGGCAAACATGGAGGAACTAATCTCCAGTGACAAAGACACCATGCCTCGCTACGTGAAAACGTGGGCTGCCTGGCACTTATTCAAAGCGACAGAAAGGTATACCGCCCTAACACAGTAATACCTGGATCCTAATACTCTGGTAATCCACCTTTTATCTCTCCCCCCTTAGCCCCACCTCCGTTCCTCCCTACGGTCCGACCTCACATGCCGTAGCTCCTGATACTCTATTCGGTACCACTGGAAGCGGGCGAGACGCTCTCTCTTTCTCACTCTTTATTCTTCCTTCTCTTTTCCGCTCCTCCTTTAAACCATCACACAACCCGCTCTTCTCTATCCTAACCAACCTCTCTTTATCAGGTCCTGCCATACCAGCACAACCTGGCATGCCCTCTTAGATCTGCAACGTCAACGCAGTTGGTCCTTCCATGGGGTCCCAAACCCAACTACCTACAACAATATTAATACAACTTTTTAGCAACACTTGGGCTTCTACGGCATGCAAGTAATGCTTTTGTCTCTTAGGGCTTAACAAGTGAGACATGCTAGCTATCCACGAAACTGATCTCTATAAAGTATGACTTGACTTGATCCCGGGAAACACTTCCCCCATTCCCACCTCACATATTGACCCTAATTAGTGTATATTTCACAGCTTGTTCTACTTGATTATTGTTTGAAACTATGATATGTATAAACACAATAAAAATGTACTTGTGAAAAAAAAAACGTACCTGTGTCTTCGCTGCGCGCTCCTGTCCGAAAATCTGAAAAATCTCGGGCGGCCGCAAAGGATCTTGGGGCGGGCGCATGCGCAGTTCAGATTTTCGGCCAGGAGACGAGGAGAGACACAAGATAAGTATATGGACGCGTGCACCCGCATGCAGACACCATGGGACAGGAAGTGCCAGCAAGCTCAGAGGAGTCAGCGCTGGATCGGATTGCCGCCGCCCCGCTGGAGGGACAGATGAAAAGGAAAGAAGAAGAAGATCGGATTAATAGACATCATTTAAGGTAAGTGCTGACATTAACATTGGGGGAAGGGAAAAAAAAATACTTTAATGTCACTTTAACTATTGTTAGAGACAAACCATAGGGAAATGCGCTTGTATTGTAGAAATATACTGAATGCTTTTTTTTTTGCTTTTCAATTTGCCTATACAGTGTAAGTGATATGAGCACCTAAAAGCTCACCTGTAAATCAGCAATACATTTGATGTTGTGCTGTAACATGGTAGCAATAATTGTAGATGAGACTTTTTGTTCTTCCAATAAGAAAGGTTTCAGTGTGTGGTGGAAGTGTGTTTAACTCCCAACTGTAGTCCTATGTATACTTCCATATTGTGTGATTGTTACCATGGCAATGCTAGAATGATAATGTGTTAATTTGACAAGCTCAGCAGTCACTCAGCACCTCAGAACATCATTGTCACACCAAGGGTAGGACTGGGAACCTTTGTCTTGGGGGGAAAAAATACAAGTGGGACTTACATGGTAGGAACAGATTTCTGTGGGCTGCAGAAAGGTAAACCACCAAAGTGTGTGGTGCCACAGCGATTGGTGGCTACGGTGGGTGGGTGTTCCTAAAGGACATGGTTTATTGTGACAAACCATTCACGTCTTCCAGTATCAGCTACAGGCAGACAGAAGAGTTAATTTTTTTGCTTTTCTTTTTAGTCAAAGGAGTTCATCCATTCGGAGCTCCTTGCTAACTTGTACTCATGCAGCGACCAGAATACACTGATGGAGGAATCAATGGAACAGGCACAGCATAGAGACGAGATGCTGCGCATGTATCATGCCCTGAAAGAAGCCTTAAGTATTATCGGGGACATTAACACGACGACCAGCAGCACCCCTATGCCTCCACCTGTGGATGATTCCTGGCTACAGGTGCAGAACATACCAGCAGGACGCAGGTAAGCAGACACAAAATGATCTGGTAAGTGAAGAACAAACAGCAAGAGCCACAACTCATATTATTAGCTAAAAGGCTTCTAAATTTCAACCACCTCTAGTGGTTGGTAGCCGTCGTTAGAGGAGAATGACAGTATTGACATTCTTGTAACAGCTGAGCCATGGATGAGATGTATTTAAAGGACAACTTCTTTTAAGAAAAAAAAAAATACCATTAAACTTGCATAATGAAAGGCTTTCTACACCTGTTTTTTTTACTGTGAAATACACCAATATCTGTACGCTAAAGGTTGCAATTCATAAATAAATGTTCTGCAGTTGAATATGATTTTAATTGTAGATTGAGGATATATTTACTGTTGAAGAAAGTCGCACAGCTGGAATATGGTCTGGAACCAAGGTGGGGTCTTAGGGGGGACACCCAGACATTTTTATTCAAACATAATTTTTTTACATGTGGATACAAGTAAACACCGTTCTCCACTGTCATTTGAGGGACACAGCTCTGAAAAATTCTAGGAATATGGTTATGCCTCTAGGAGAAATGGACACTAGGCAAAAAAAATGAAAAGCCTGTCACTTTAGGGACATAACCCCTCACACCTCCTAGGTGCACTTAGTGCCCTCGGTGCAATGGATGTCTCCTTATCTTCTACTTTATTTTAGTTGACTTTGTTTCCTCGTTGAAGATTTTACTACCAAGAGCTGCTAGTTGACTAATACTGCATATTATTAGATCTGCATGTCTCTCTAGCTAACCAACAAAACTTAGAGTTACATGTCAGATAAGTTCAATCCTAGAAGTTTCTCTAGTTGCCATGAAGCATGTTGTTTCGGGCCTCAGTACTTACACTTCGTCCATTCATGATTTAATGGTCAGGCCAGTATTATTTGGGGATTCCTGTTATGTCAGGAACGGGGCCATGAAGTTATGAGTAAAAAAAAAAAAAGTATTTACCTCATGTTTGTAAGTTTGGGTGTTATCCCTCTTTTTTTTCCGCCCAAATACTCGGCATCGGCATCGATACCGATACTGGTATCGGTGCATCCCTACTTATCTAGGTGCCTGGGTCGTGCACTCTTTCCTTGATTAAGGATTATAGCACATCGATTCAGCTCATGAATACAATACACCGAAAGTATGCTTGTCATAAACACTATGCCATATCGTTGATGCAATAGCTGGGCTGTGACAGATTCAATCAGCATCAGAAAGAAACGGTTGCTTTCTTAATTGAGACTGTACACACTCTTTAAAATTCGATGATTTTGCGGTTATTTCTGGTCTAGGTTCACATAAACGTAAGTGTGTCTGCAAGATTTTTCATCTTTATCCTGTTTTTATATAAGAATTAAGAAATTCTGGATAAGCCACTTCTGGTTCCTAGACACTTAAGTCTCTCCGGATGATTCTGTTTGGTAACATTTATTCGTAAAATAGTTTGGCTCTTCAACCTTTATTGGCTATGCTCCTTATTTTCCAGACTTTGACTACTTGGACAAAATCTTTAAATAAAGAACAGGTGACTGCTGCAGTAGATCCACATTTTATTGATTGTGTGGATCAGATGACTGTTGCTTCGTATTTCATATGTAATGCGTTTCTTGATGCTTGTTGTCTGTTTGTCTTGTGTGTCTGTTTCTTCCATTCAGATACGCAGAGCTATGTTGGCTGGTTGGCGGGACCCCACTGCAAAAAGGGCCTTTTGCATTTACCCTATGCGAGAGGTCATCTTTTTGAAGCAGCCTTGGATTAGGTTATTAAAAAAGCTACAGAAGGAAAAAGTGAACAATTACCCACTTCCCAGTTTCAAAAGATGTCTTAAACTTCCAAACCTGTGGACTTTTTAAGACATCCCTGGCAATTAAAAAGTCTGCTTTAGCATGAAGGTCTGTTCCCGCCTTTTCTATATATGGTGGGGGAATACCTGATGGAGTTTGCAAATACAATTTCAGACTACATTTCCTCCTTCTGCCTCCTTGTTTTTTTTCGTTGTCTCCCATATCTCAGCAGCGTCGAACAAACCTTTTTTGCACAGTTCAAGGTCCTTTGGATCTGGGTGTTATTATTCCCGTTCCTTTGGTAGAACGTTTTCAAGGTTTTTACTCAAGCCTGTTTACGGTTCCCAAGGAGTCCTGTTTACGGAACCCAAGGAAGACAGAGTGCTTTCAAATACAGAATCAGACAATGTGTTTGTACATATTCACAAATTGCACATGCAACTCATTCGGTCGGTTGTAGCCTCTCTTAGACAAGGAGATTTTTTTGGTTTCCATAGACCTAAAGGATGTGTATTTACACATTTCTGTATTTCCAGCACATCAGCATATCCTTCGTTTTCTGATAAGCTAACATTATTATCAATTTGTGGCTCTTCCCTTCGGCCCCATGGGCTTTTACAAAAGTTCTTGCCCCGGTTCTGGAATATTTTCGTTGCAAGGGCATTCTGATTCTCTGATACTTAGACATCCTTTTACTTCAAGAACAGTCTCTTCCTACTTTGAAGCTCAATACCTAGATGGTGCTGTGGACATTAGAGGACGTCTGGTAGATTCTGGACATCGAGAAGTCATCCCTAGTTGCGTCACATTATTTGGATCTTCTGTTGAATACCCTTCAAGTAAAAATGTTTCTTCCTCAGAACAAAATATTGAAGATGCGGGATCAAGTTTGGTCGCTGTGATCCTATCACCATTCCTCTTTGAGAACCTGCATGAGAATACTGGGATTGATGGTGTCAACTGGGGATGCAACATTACCACTTTTTCAAGACCAAGTACTTTCCTCAGGTACTTGCTGATACCAATTACTGATACTTTTTCTTAAAGCCACATGTGACATTGTTTTTCTAAAACAATGCAGACTAATGCTTTTAGGGCAGTTTCTTTATAATTACGAAGAACTATAACTCAATCCATTATTATTCAGCAATGGAGAATGCCAACCAGTGATAGAGGACTACAGATCCCATCAATCCATGATTATACAGCAATGGAGAATGGCAATCAGCAATCCTGAATTGCTGAGATTTGTAGTCCTCTATAGCCGGTTGCCATTCACTATTGTATTTGATTAGCACTGTTACATACACCAATAAGAGAACAACAATAGGCAGCCCCAGTATAAAAGTTTACTTAGTCTGCTCTCAGGAGGGTATGGCAGGCTCCAGAAAGGCTGCAAGGGTCATTGAGAAGTGCAGTGATGTGTCTGCGGGCGTTCACCGGGGCTGCGTGCGGGGCTCTCCAGGACTGTACTGGCTATTGCGGGGCATCGGGCTCTTCAAGGCTGCGATCGCAACTCACCTGGGCTGTATGTGTGGCTCTCCATAGCTGTACTGGTGGCTGCCAGGCGCTCCAGTCCTGTACGGGTGAGTGTGGAGCTGTCCAGGGATGTGCTGGCCTCGGGGAGGAGGAGGAGATGTGTGTTTGGACTGGCACTACCAAGGACAGCTACTGTGAGGTCCCCAGCAAGCACGGGACATCAGGAACCCGAACTTGTTCAAAAATTTAAAGGACCGGTATCCGTCATTAGAATCAGGACAGTTTCATGAGTACGGGTACTCATGAAAAAGCCCCGTATCGGCCCGATACCAATACTAGTATCGATATCGGTGCATTCCTAGTGTTAACCTTTGAAGTACCTTTTGCTCAGTTCCATTCCAGGACTTTACAGAAGAACATTCTTACAGCATGGGATGAGTCTCCTATCGCTGGACAAGATGTTCAGATTGAGTGCCCCAGCCAGTCTGTTTCTGTTGTGGTGGTTGATATCTCCTGCGTTGACAATGGGAAAAGTTGTTTCTTCCCATAATTTAGAAGATTGTCACGACAAATGCCAGTCTTATGGGATGAGGCGGTCTCTTGGATCATCTGTATGTGCAGGGTTGTTAGTCTCTGGAGAAATCCAAGCTTCCTATGTCCCGGAATTGTTGGGCAATTTGTCTGACATTGTTTCAATGGACCCATTTTCTGTCTGGGTGTCCAATTCAGATTCAGTCAGACAATGCTACGGTAATGGAATACATCAATCACCAGGGAGGCACCAGGAGTGCGGAACTACAGTCGATTTTGGATTGGCTGTAACTTCAGGTTCCAGCGATTTCAGCGATGCACATTCCTTGGTTAGAAAACTGGCAGGCAGTCTTTCTTAGTAGACAATGTCTGGATCCAGGCAAATGGTCTATCCATCCAGGTGTTTCATCAACTTTGTCACCACTGGGAAATGCCAGATGTGGATCTTCTGGCTTCTCGTCACAACAAGAAGGTGGACAGATTTGTGTCCAGAGCGAGGGGATCCAATGGCGAATGCAATAGATGCCTTAGCAGCTCTGTGGGATCAGTACACACTGATGTATGTCTTTACTCCACTAACACTATTACCTTATCTGCTTTGCAGGATAGAACACAAAGGAATTCCAGTCATTCTTGTCGCTTCAGATTGGCTTTCCAGGGTGTGTGGTGCTGATTTGGTTCATCTGTAGATAGACGATCCCCAGCCAGATCTGTTTATCTTAGAGCCCAAACTTCCACTCTGCTTCTCAGTCGCTGGTTTTTATTGGCCTGGCTGTTGAAACCCAAGTGTTGAAAGACAAAGGAATTTTCAGATTCTGTTATTCTGCCTATGATTAAGGCTCATAGATCTTCTACTCATACGATTTATCATCGTACGTGGAAGGTTTTTGTTTGTTTGTGTGAGTCCTTGGGGTTTTCCCCACTTTCTATATTGCAAATGTTGTCTTTCCTTCAACTCAAAATACCATAAAGGGTCATATCTGCCTTGTTGTTCCTTTTTCTGCAATCTCTTGCTTATGATTCCTTGATTCCTCTGGTTAGATCTCCTCTTCCTCCATGGAATCTGAACTTGATTTTTATCTGTTCCACAAAAACCTCCTTTTGAACCTTATCTTAGTCATTTAAAAAAGTTGCCTTACTGTTGTCCATTACTTCGGTTAGAAGGGGTTCCGAGTTTTCTGCTTTGTTTGGTGAAGAACCATATAGGTCCCTCATAGGTACAAGGTTGTTTAGAGAACGCAGGTTTCCTTTTTACCCAAGGTGGTTTTTGCTTTTTATTTAAATGTAGACAATGTTTTACGTTCACCTTGTCCAGCTACTGTTCATCATAAGGAAATTTCTCTTCATTGTTTGGATGTTGTGCGAGCTGTTCGAGTTTATGTCAGCCAAAGCTCCCTTTATGATTCTGGATTCTTTATTTGTCCTCTCTGAAGATCCTAGAAAAGGTTGTTCAGTTTCTAGATCCGCTATTATAAGTGGTTCATCAGCTTGTCATTCAAGCTTTTGAGTTGTGGGATATGGTTCCTCCTTTTCCTGTTCTCTGCTCATTCTACCAGGTAGGTAAGTACTTTGGCATTTCAGAATCAAGTTTCTGTTACTCAAATTGCAAGGCCGCAACTTGGACTTCTGTTCAAACATTTGCAAAGTTTTATAAAGTTGATGTTTCTGCCTCTTCTGATGCTAGTTTTGGCAGAAAGGTTCTTCAGGCAGCTGTTTGAGTATTTGAGCTGGTTCTTCTAGTTTTTATGGTGCCTGCCCCTCTGTTTTGGACTGCTTTTAAAAAGTCCCTATGTCTCAGAATATTTCAGAGCTGTGTCCCTCAATGGACAATAGAAAAAATAGGATTTTGTTCTTACCATAAAATACTTTTATCAGAGTCCATTGAGGGAAACAGCTCCCTCCAGTCATTTGCTTCGTAATGCTTACTACAACTGTGAGGTAGGAGGGGTTATGTCCTTAAAATTACAGGCTTTTCATTTTTTTGCCTAGGGTCTGTTCTCCTGGAGGCAGCAGCATGACCCTATGTCTCAGAATCCTTCAGAGCTGTGTCCCTCAATGGACTCCCAGAAAAGGATTTTATGAATTGTCTGAAATAATTTTTCCGATTTTCATATTTATGACTTAGAGGTCCTTTTATAATGGAGAGCAGATGTGGCCGCTCTCTGCCACTCTGCACCTGCATTTTATGATTCTTTCACTCATTCTTAAAATTAAGGTCATGGCATGGAGCCTGTGGTGTCCTACAAAGTGTTCTCTGGATAAGGACACTCTGATTGGAGGAGAATGTCACAATCTGGGATCAGGCTCAGAGTCCAGTAGCTGAAACAGCAGGCAAATTTGTGGTATAACAGGCTGGGTTTGGTACACAAGCAGCCTGGGGTAGTACTATAGGAGCAAGCAGAAGAGTAGTCAGCGAACAAGCCGAGGTCAATAGCCAAAAGTATCAGGTATGAAGCAGAAGACGATGAGTAGTCGGTGAATCAGCAGCCAAAGGTCGGTACACGTGTAGCAGTATGACAGGATTGTATCACAGAGGGAGCAGGAAGCAAGATATTGGCAGGAACACAATAATCTGACAGAAACAGGAAGTGCAGAGGAATGGCTAAAATAGGAAGTTCAAGGGAGGAGCAAGGAGTTCAGCAGAAACTAGGTTTACCTGAGGATTACACATGAGAGCAGGCAAGGAACTATCCATGGTTTCAGAGTGGCTCAGCAGGTAGAGCCACCGCCCGACGCAGCAGAGGCCCTGGGTTCAGATCCGGATCCTGAGAGAACCTGGACAAATTTTTTTTCAAATTATTAATTAAACTTGACAGGACTTTGTTTGCTGTAGGTCTCTACGCTAAGCACACTTGTAAAGATAACAAGCTTTTTTTTAAATGTGCATTTTTTTGTTTGTTTTAAGCAGCTATATGGCCATGCTGCTGCAGCTTTATAACTTTTTTATCTAGAGTTCTCATTTAAACTGTGGGCTCATCCACTCCTTTTTGTTTGTTGCCCATTCCTGGTGTCCAACCCAGGCCAAAGAAAACCTCTACTGAGGAAACATGGAGCCTTCTGACAATGCCAGTTACCTGGCGGTCACAATGAATCAATTATTTTTCTACCCAGAACAAGTATGCAGATGGTTTAACTTTTTGACTTTGGTTTCTGTGCATTTTCTTGATCAATGACTCAGAGAGCATTACAATGATTGGATCATGACAGCCAGGCAACCAGCATTTTCAGAAAGGGGTCAACAATGATAGCCTCCATCTTTCCTTCAGTAAAACATCCCTTTTAATAAATGTTCCACCAGTTCTAAGCTTATCACATCTGCTACAACTCAAATTGATATTGCTTGTTCTACTTCAGGTCTCCCACATCAAGCCCTACCCCGCAGAGGAGAGCACCGGCTGTACCCCCAGCCAGACCTGGCTCTCGAGGACCAGCTCCAGGACCACCACCACCTGGTGCCACTCTTGGTAATGCACCACCAGTGCCCTCCAGGCCTGGGGCTTCCCCTGACCCATTCGGTCCTCCTCCTCAGATTCCCTCAAGACCTAACCGTGCCCCTCCTGGTGTCCCTAGGTAAGTCTATCTAAACCATGAGCAGCAATGACCAAAGGGATTAACCTTAGCCCTGAGACATTTATTTACATTACACTTAGAGAGAAAGGTGTGTTAAAATTCAGATTTGAAGACCCATGGCTAGAAGCTACAACAGAATTTAAGAATCAATAGTCTACTGATTTTTAAATGTTCAAAAAAGTGAAACTACAGTTCTAGGTTTATTATATAAATAAAATAGCTCTTTTCTGGGCCTGCTCATGGATACATCACTAATTTGTCAGTTATATGTCACTAAATCATGTGTTGGTTTATTTATACGATTAATTACATTACCACTTGAAGCTGTACAATTTTACATAGAACAGCTCACTTCCAATCCAGTAATCCTATTGGAGGACACTGCAGTCAGCACCTTTTCAGCCTCCCCCAGCCTTTTATGGCTGCACAAATAAAATTATGATATTTCAGAGCGAAATAGCTGAAATCCTGGAAAGGTATGGAATCTTTAAGTACATGACTATGAATACTTTTAATAACTTGTGTACAAAGGCAACTTTTGTTTTAGGTTTTGTGGCCCTTTAACCATATTAACTGCTGTGATTTCCTTTTAAAGCTAAATTCAAAGCTTTTCCACATGGCCCAGGTTAAGTGTATTTACACAGTATGGTATTGCTTTAAATAGAAGGCCTGTCACCCTGAGCTTCAGTTCTCATTGTACTGGTCAGATAAGACAGCGTTAGCACCAAAAGTTCCATTTCCAGTACTGAGTGTGGATACTACTGTGGAAGCATGTGACACTTTCAGAATATCTTTGTTCCACATTTCTTTTTTCAGACAGTGCATGCTTTCAGACTTTCCTAATAGAAGAGTATGACGTTAAAGGGTCAGACCATCCAAAACTGATTTATTAAGTATTGATGGACACTGCTGAACCTCTCACTGTATTATTGAATTCGAAAGAGTCTGAAATTTCTAGCTCTTGACTTGTCTCAGTAATTAAAGATGGAATTTTTTTTAAAAATAGGACCTCCTTTTAAATGATCACAGCAATAGGCAGGGCCGAGAACAGGCCCAAGTCCAGGGATTTCACTATCTAGAACCCAAACAATATCAAAGATGAGTGAAACCCTGAGCATCCAAATTCACTTCAAAGGGCCAAATATTTGCCCAGGCAAAGTAAATTAGCAATAGTTGTAACTGAAGAACACAACTTAATTTCAGTAGTTGGGAGAGCCCCTGCTCCTTTTCGGGCAATTTGCACATCACTCAGGATTTCTGGTCACCAGGCGAATATACAAGTCAACACCCTCTGTTTTTTAGGACAGCATGGTGCATGTCCTTGCATTTGCAATGACGTAAGCGTCCATATTTAGAAAGGAGTAAAACTATGGACATGTATCTTTTTTCAACCTGACTATGTAACTATGGTGGATTGGCAAAAATCTCGCCTCCAACAAATTTGCATGATCCATTGGTTTATACAGGTTAGTGAATGTATCCCTTTTTGTAAGCAGACAAATCCCAGGGTTCATGTAATAACTGGCATCTAACTTTTTGTTTTAACCAAAGGAAAATACAAATTTAATGGAGTCTAGATTGAACTAACTGGCTTCTAAGCTCTACATTAAATTTGTCCATCCTTGGTTATAGGAAGCCAGTGGCTGTTTTAACCTGACAGCATCTACCGAAAACAGAAATATCGCTTTTGGTCGGGCTGACCCTTTAATTAATAGTTATGTCACACTCACATTTTTTTAATGATTAAGCCTCATTTGTTTGTTAAAGGAAATCGTGAAGGTGGCCACTTACTGTAGTCCCATGATGAAAGCAGGTAGGAATGGTTCACCCAAGTTAAACTCCTCTTTCTCTGCTTGCAGTCCTCACATTTTAACAAATGTGATGTGTCTAATACCATCAATATTAACATGTCATCGAGTTCAAAATACACAGCTGACCCCATAATAAAAGGCTTCCTACATCATTCACAAGTGTGTCAAACCATGAAACTGACAGCAAGTAGAGATATAACAATTTATTGTATCTTACACACAGCATTACATATAAAAGCGTGATGTCAGTTCACTAGGATCCAGAACAGTACCTTCTCTCTGTCTGGCCTGAGTACAAAGACATTAACCCAAAAGTGGGTCACCATGATTCTCAAATGATAATGCATTATATAAAGATCAGCCTTGAGCTCGGGGATTTTACTACAGATGCCCGCAAGAGCATACAATGGGGCATATACAAAAATGGCATTGCTGCTGTACAGCTGGTATAAATGCCCAAATATATATTGTGTGTTGGGCTGCCTTTTATACCCTTTGTAAAAAGGCACAAAAGTGCACAACACTGCCATTCTGGAATGTATTAATGATATGTTGTCTGGCTCTACAATTTGAATAGCTCAGTGTGTTAGGTAGCAGTTTATACAAGTTTCTATTTGTCTCTATTGGGCCCCAGAACTGTCTTATTGTCTCTTTCTTACGTCCCAATACAGTCTCTCTTTTAAAAGGACAGTCTCACCCTCTCTCTCTCCAGGACAGCCTGTCTGTCTCTTCCTTGAGGGCAGTCTCTACTCCTCAGAGCAGTCTCATCTCTCCTCTCCCCTTATTTCCCAGGGCAGTCTTGATCTCACTCTGCAGGGCAGTCTCTACAGACCTCTGCAAGGTATTTACTGTTTCTTCATCTTTCTCCAGGGCAGTCACCATTTTTTTTTTCAGGGCAGTCTGTCCATATCGCTGCAAGGTAGATTCTGTTTCTCCAGGGCATTCTCTCAGTCTCTCTTTCCAGGGCATTGTCTCTATCTCTCTGGGGCAGTCTTTCCATCTCTCCTACCTTTTCTTCAGGGCAGTCTCTCTGTCTCCCTGGCCTCTCTAGGCAAAGCTATTTCTCAGGTTTTTTTTTTCCTGCAGGCTCTTATCACATGGCATGTTCTCGAACAGGACATGCTGTTGCTCTTCACCACTCAGTATGAGGTCCTCAAATTTGTGCCCGATAGTGCTGTTTTCAGTACACAGGGCTTGCTATCTCATATCACAGCCAATGTGAAGACATTGGCTGTCACAACATCCCAGCAACACAGTAGCTCTTCTGTCAGCTGACATGAGTGTATCCTAGTGAACTGGCTGCTTAGAAATATTTTGCTCACAAAATGACTGCATCTGCTCTGTAACATGTGCAGGGTGTCCTGCAGTGTCCTTCAATAGTGCTACAGAAAGGAATTAGAACCAAGTCACAACAGAACTGGTTACTCATAATTAGCTCTTCTAATATTATGGATGCTAATTAAAAAATGTTTTAGTGTCTAGTGCTGGGGCATTGAAGAAACCTCTCCCTCATGAGCGGATTACAGAGATAACACCCATGGCCATTGTCTGCCTCCTGCTTCTATAGACACTGGGAAAACAGCACAGGAAATAAACATGTATGTACAAAAGTGGGAAGGATGGGATAGGTAGAGGGCATTTCAAATGCGACTTATGGTGGTGTTGACCCTGAAACGCTTCTACTCATTCATCGAAGTCTCCACAAGCAGCAGCTTACAGATGCCATATTGGCATCAGCAAGCAGCCTTTCGCAGCTTGTTGTCCTCTAAAGTTGAGACGTCATACAACAATTGTCCCAGTAATGGCCAGAATTACATTGCCATTGTGTACTGTTTTTTTCAGATTAACTATCAGCCTTCTCTAGACTCTCTGGGTAATGCTAATAGATAGGTGAAGATGAGCTATAATTTCACGGTTTGAAAACATCAATGTGTGATATTTATAACTGTAGTCTCTTTAACACCATTTGCACTGTGACCAGATTCTGGTTCATATATAAGCAGTGAGCATTTCCATCATATTTCAAGATGTTATGGTCATCCATGTGCAGGTTTGCATGTGTGTCACAGTATTCATGACGCCTCACCCATGCGCTTTTCTCATTGCATCCTGCTTTTATTAATGACTTTTACTTGTACTCATTTCATATTGCATCTTCTCTATTCTATATACCTTTCCTTTACCTTCCCTCCTGATATATGGCGGTGGCTGCAGCCTTTGCTTTCATGAGTAACATCCCTCCCTCCCAAGTCTCTTCAAGCTTTAGACTAAAGGAGGAGTACAGCAATGGTTCCCATCATTATGGGAAGTTAGAATCTCTTTGCAGACAGGACCCTCTAGGGGTAACTTTAGAGTCACAGCTAATTATTTGGTCCCTCTTCTGTCTCGTGGATCAGATGGGATGGGACTATACATTGGAAAAGAACCTACACACTTCATCTATGTTCTTCATTTTTTGAACGGAGAACTTTTGGTTTATGCAATATACAGTATTTATATCAAAGCACCAAAACAGAAAGTTGGTTTATGACAATGTTACAAAAAAAACAGTCAGTACTGAATCCCCCCATTTCCGTATTTTGTAGAGACTCTATTTGCAGCAATAACGTCTTTTAATCTTTTAAGGGTAACTTTGCATACTATTTGATAGTTACTTTGATCCTCTATTCTAGGCAGATTTCAAATAGTTTTCAAACATTAATTGGCTATAGAGAGCACTGTATATTTTAAATCATCATCTGGATTAAAAGATATGATGCAATATTAAAAAATACATGCTTAAGACAAGGGTAAAAAACAATATTTAATTGTTTGAATGCTGGTTCAGTTATCAGAAAGTGCCAGCTATCAAAACGTTTAAATGCCACCTAGAAACGTTCATGCCTCAAAACCCTCTTGAAGAGAAGACACAAAAGACCAACAACCACTTGGAAGGAGCTTTAGAGTTCAGAAGCTGACCCTGGGGTAAAGGTGCAGCAGTTAATTATATCAAATTCTCTATTTCTCTCCAAAATTGGTCTGTATAGGATGGCACAAAAGTAGCCATTACTAAAAAAGAATCGTGAAAAGGCACATTTAGAGTTGACTATAAAGTTTGGGAAGGGCCTAGCTGTGATAAAAAGCTTTGGTGATGAGAAGAGATTAAGAGCATCTTGGCTAAAGTTCATATTGATCTGTATAGAGCAATTTTATCATTGCTCACAATATCAATAGCAAGACAATGGTAGAATGGATTGAGCAAAAAATAAAGCTTAGGGCAAATCAATCAGCAGAACAATCCAAAACAGAAGGCCAAGTTAATACTCGAGTGACTTAAGGACAAAAGTGGGGACCATCTACAATGGCTTGATCAGAGTCCTGACTCCAATCCAATCTGTAGCATATTATGACTATTGCCATATGCAAATATCTTCCAACTAACCTGACTTACCTGGGGCAAATCTTTTTAGAAAAATTAGCTAAGAAAACCCCAAACTGGGTACAAAACCAGAACATTTGAGGTTTTAGCTGTAGCTCCATAGGAAAGCTCTTATTGCTGCAAATATTACTCTAGAAAACTTAGCACAAAGCTTCAGTGCTTACATAAAACTTCATATGTCTGGGGTTTTTTATTGTTGTGTTCATTTATTAACACAAAATAAAGATATAAAACCAAATTCATAATTCAGTAAATAGAGAGAGTGAATTGGTAAAGGGTCTGTGTACTACTGTTAGGCAAGGACTGGAGTGTACAGTGTTTGCCACAGTGCTTATTGTGGCAGATTGCAGTTCTGGGAGAGAACTTGTGGGGTAGGGTAGTTAAGGGTTTGGAATGGACCATCAGGAGATTTTTTTTCTCTGACATTACAGCTCTGTGGATAAGCTAAGTGCAAACTATCGCAGACTGCATTTATTAAAGGCATAATATAAGAAACATTGCCAGTGTAGCTCATGGAAAATAGTTACTTTTCTTCCCTATTCTGCACTGGAAATATGACAACAGGAAATTGGTTGCCGTGGAGCAATACAGGGCATTATTCTTTGCTAAAGTGTTTCTTTTGTTTTTGTTTTGTTTTCTAAACAGACCCCTGACATTTCCCTTTTAAAATAGAAAAGAAATTGAGGACTCAATGGATGGGGAGCTCTCAGTACAGAGGCTCCTCCCATTCATACTTACTATCAATAGTTTCTGAATGGGGAGGAGCCTCTGTACTGAGTGCTTCTCCCCATTGAGAAAATTTTGAATGAACAGGCTGCGATGAAAATCACAGCCTGCTCATTCATAACTGGGGACACATACTACTATGTGTCCCCAGTTATTTACAAACACTGGAGTGATCAGACGATCGCTCCAGTGTTTGTCCTTCTCACACGGAGGACCGGTAAATATCACTGATATTTACCGATCCTCCGCTCAGCCACCCACAGAGCCGCTGTCATCCTGAAACTGACAGGATGACAGCGGCTCCGATCTCCTCCCCACTCGGCCATCCTGACAGCAGGCAGCGCTCCCTCCTGCGCCCCCCCGAAGGGGCAGACGGTGGACGAGGGAGCGCTGTCATATCGGAGGGCCAGCGCCCAGCGGTGAGGGGGAGAGAAGCCGCCTCCAGGACGAGCTGTGTCGGCCGCACGGCGCCCTTGTTGCCATGGCGCCCTGTGCGGCCGCACTGCTCGCACACCCCTAAGGCCGGCCCTGTTGCTAAGGCAACTGCTTCATTAAAGTACCAGCTGTTACAGTTTCCAGCAGGTGTGCTGACCAGCTTTTCTCATATTTGTGCCAAGCAGAGGACTACATTCCAATCACCTGGTAATAGGCGGGGATACAGGATTGCATGGGTGAATTGTTTGTTTGTACATTATGGAAAGGGATTTGAACTCCTGCCAGGTATTTCCTGCCTTTCAGGGCTCTATTAGGGAGATTTTTCCCTTACTGAAGCTAGCCATTCACAGTTAGATTTTGGCCCTGCAGGCTCAACGAGAGAAATTATTAGATTTCCTCATCCATGCTAAACAGTGTGGATGG